CCCCTTTTACCTCAGGATTTCCTCCCACTCTCCAAAATCTTCCTTTTTCCACCCAAAATCTTCTCCAGACCCCAAAATCGGAATTTTTTACCTCGGAAACGTCTCTCCACACAAAACTCTGCCCCTTTCAACCCCAAACCCGCCTCAGTGCCCCAAAATCTGACTTTTTAAACTAAAAATCTGCCCCTTATACATCAGGATTTCCTCTCACCCCCTGAAATCTGCCTCTTCCACCCCAACATCTGCCACAGACCCCAAAATCTGAATTTTTTTACCTCAGAAGTGTCCCCCACACCCCCAAATTTGGCTCTTTCACCCCAAAATCTGCCCCTTTTACCTCAGGATTTCCTCCCACCCCACAAAAGCGGCCCTTTCACCACAGAAATGTCCCCACTCCCAATTTTGTCTTTTCACTTAAAAATCTGCCTTTTTTACCTCAGAAGTGTCCCCAACACCCCCAAATTTGCCTTTTTTACCACAAAATCTGCCCCTTTTACCTCCGGATTTCCTCCCACTCTCCAAAAGCTTCCTTTTTCCACCAAAAATCTTCTCCAGACCCCAAAATCGGAATTTTTTACCTCAGAAACGTCTCTCCACACCAAACTCTGCCCCTTTCAACCCCAAACCTGCCTCAGTGCCCCAAAATCTGCCTTTTTTAACCAAAAATCTGCCCCTTTTACCTCAGGATTTTTCCCCACTCCCAAAAATCTGCCTTTTTCCACCCAAAATGTGCCCCAGACCCCAAAATCAGAATTTTTACCTCTGTAATGTCTCTCCACACCCCAAAATCTGCCCCTTTCACCCCCAAACCTGCCTCAGACCCGAAAATCTGCCTTACCTCAGGAATGTGCCCCACACCCTCAAATTTGCCTTTGTTACTTCCAAAATCTGCCCCTTTTACCTCAGAATTTCTTCCCACTCCCCAAAATCTGCCTCTTCTACCCCCAAATCTGCCCCAGACTCCAAAATCTGAATTTTTTACCTCAGGAATGTCACCAAAACCCCCAAATTTGCTTTTTTTTACCCCAAAATCTGCTCCTTTTACCTCAGAATTTCCACTCACCTCCCAAAATCTGCAGATTTCACCACAGAAATGCCCTCACTTTTGGTATTTTCACTTAAAAATTATTTTTTTACCTCAGAAGTGTCCCACACTCCCCCCAAATTTGCCTTTTTTACCCCAAAATAAGCCCTTTTTACCTCAGGATTTCCTCCCACTTCCCAGAATTGGCCTCTTCCACCCAAAATCCGCCGCAGACCCCAAAATCAGAACTTTTTATCTTTGAAATGTCTCTCCACGCCCCATAATCTGCCCCTTTCACCCCCAAATCTGCCTCAGCACCCCAAAATCTGTATTTTTACCTCAGAAATGTCCCCCATGTCCCAAATTTGCCCTTTTTACCCCAAAATCTGCCCCATTTACCTCAGGATTTCCTCACCCTTCAAACCTCCCCTTTTCACCCCCAAATCTGAATTTTTTTACGTCATGAACATCTCTTAACACCCCTAAATCTGCCTCTCTCACCCTCAAATCTGCCTCAGACCCCCCAGATAAGCATTTTGCACCCCAAAATCTGCACCCACGCTCTAAAATCTGCATTGTTTTTTACCTCAGGATTACCCTTCACACCCCAAATCCGCCTTTTTCACCTCCAAATCTGCCTCTTTTACTTCAGGATTTCCCCCCACCCCCAGGTTCTGCCCTTTTCACCCTAAAATCCGCCCCAGACCCCCAAAATCCACACTTC